TGTCGTGAGCCGTGCCACGACGGATTATATTACGTCGGTTCTTTCTCCCGTAGGATGCGCAGGTTCGCAAGCGCTGCCTGCTCCAATGACGGTTTTGGAGCATCGTGAGGCTGACGTAGATGTCAGCAGCTCGCGGTATTTCGATAAATGATTCGTTTCTAGAACTTTCTTACAATATCTCATCTATTATTTATAATATAAAACTCATCTATTATTTATAATAGATGAGTTTTATATTATAAAAACACGCGGATTATAATTGATTGGTTTATTACGATAAATGATTAATTCTATTATGCAGGATATGTGTGTGTGCTAGAACATGTAAAATGTGCAGTGCACACATCTTTAGGTATATTACAAGTTGTAATTATTTAAATTTTTTTAATTATTAAGAAAACATTTTTCTCGAAACTTTTTAATATTATTCAAAGAATATCGAAATTTAATTTTAATGAAAATATATAAATTGAAATAGTGCTGAGCGCTAATTAAGATACATCCTGTATGTTACAATACTTAAAATTCGCAGTATTTAAAAAAATGCAGATTATTTTATTTGTCGTTTGTATATATTTTTATTTCAATCAGTTTCTATAGAGTTTACAAGAAGTATAATGCATCAAATGCGGTTATTTTGAACTTGCAAAAATTCATATTTAAATACTACTGGCAGTAATATTTAGACAGTAATACATTTCAGCAGTGTAGTGCGAAAAAATCACACACACCAATAGTATTTCTATGTAGTTGTCAATAATATGTCTGTGTGATTTCCAGTAATATTTCCAGCAGTTCCCTGTAATATTTCTATGTAGTAGTCAATAATACCTCGGCAATCGGTCTTTTCCGTAAGGGCTGTCATTCTATCTTCGTTGTTTATTAAACGAAAACAAGGGGTGCGTTCCGAGTTATGCATGAAGCGCATGTTGCATCATTTGTCCTTATTGTTCACCAAATAATAAAGGAGGTTAAAACGATACATCATGCGCTTTATGCATAACTTGGAACCCAAAGATAGAATGACAGAAATAGCATTAATAGCGTCCCCGAACGCACCTAACATGTGTTGCTGTCAACTTGCCGTGTATTTGCTTTCTTACGTTACTGAAAATGAATGATAAATCAAAAAGTTGTCCATGAATGACATGAATGAATTGTCATTTTGTTGACAACAAAATGAGTAACAGTTTTTCTCCATTTGCTCTGAATCTGCTGACACGAAATATTTCAAATCTGCCCTCGTGTTGTTGAATATGTAGGATTATGTACAATATTACGTTTTCAGCAAATACACAGCAACTAGTAGGAAATTTGTGTTCAGCATTAAATTACATGGTTTTGCAAAACATCAGGAACGATTCAAAACGACTGTATGGCGAGAAAAAGATTCAAATTTGAATAAACACTGCAGTCGATTGAATATATAAGGGGCTGAGAATTAAGTTGTAGACCTAATATATACATTATCTGAATTACGATTATGATAATATCTACCTGATTGATGGGGAAATCATAGGAGTTCCTCGGCTAACTGGAAATTGCACTGGTGGGTATAATTTAGTAATTTGCGGCTGTAAACCACAATTATACAACTCTCCAATTCCTTGTAAAATTATATCAACGTTTTGTTCCGTGGGTCGAGTTAATACAAGGTTTGTCACGTTTGGATGTAGAGATCCTCTCAAAACGTGTTGCAGAACATCGTCTGGTGCGATTTCGATGACCACAGCATTACTTGGAATTAGATCTGTTGCTTGTTGAAATAGAACAGTGTTTAATATACTTCGAGTATGATAGTCCGCCGACGATAACTTTGATGCTGAAGTGAACCATTCGGTGCAAGGTATAGAAGTGCTAATCCACTTTGAACTTCGTTTTTTTGGGTGTGGTATTATTTTGTTCAAATTAAGCAAAAGCTGACTTTCCGCGGATGCGACGTAAGAACTGTGAAACGGTATGTTGCAATTGACCTCCTTCATGTAAATATTGTTAACCTGATTATAAAAAAATGCAACATGTGTACAGTTATAGCAAATTGTGGCTTGAATTTAACTTTCCAATGTTTTAAAAACTATCAAGTAACTTTCTTTATTCACTTATGAAATATGTGTGTGAGAATTATTTTTAATTTTACCTGTAATTTTTTCATAAATTTTTGTACGGATTCTGGTGGTCCACATATGACGCTGCAGTTCTTGCTATTGTGGCATACTATTTCGATATCCGCTGGACATATATCTTTAAGACACTTATAATCGATATTGACAAGCGCCATCGAGCTATCAATTATTTTTCCTCCGGCACATGCTATACCGATAAAGTATGCTGATAAAATAGTTTGTTCAATGGTAAGGCATTCATCTGCATATGCGCAAACAAGTTCACCGGCAGAATGACCAATCATGTGATCGGGAGTAATTCCTAATGATGTTAAGAGATCTACTAAACCAATCTATAAATATTATACAAATAATTTGATAGCTGAACACTATATTTAAAAAAATTCATTATTAACTTAATAACAAAAATTAGGGAAATAAATCAAATAGTTTTATAATGTGATCGAACAAAATTAAAAAAGACGTATGCCTATCATTTGTGTTCGACTTATACATAAGGTATTATTGATACTTATATATAATTATGAAGAATAATAGATTCTTTACCTGAATAGCGATGATTCCAAGAAAAGCGTTTAACGCATTTTTGCATATTTTTTCTTCCTTTTTTGTCAAAATGTCTATAACACTTATACCGTACGGTTTTAAAACATTATCACATTTTCTTATTGCTTCTTCGAAGACGTGAAACTTTAATAAACTTCGGCCTAGTAAGATTTTTATGAATTATATTATTTTATTATTTAAGTTGATACGTGTATTATTATTAAAATATGAAATATTGATTATGTACCCATTCTTGGCCATTGAAAACCTAAGGCTGAAAATATAAACCAAACAGATCTTTTCACGTTTCCACAATTTTGTATTTTCTTTATTGAATCTTCTTTGAAAGTATTCAATATAATATACCCTCTCCATTGGTGACCGTCTATATTGTCTGCATAGATATCATGTAATAAACGAATATACTCTACGTCTATCGGACGATCTGCAATCTATAATGATAAATTTTTTTAAATAAAATTACGACATAATAATCATTAATATTTCAAATGAGCTTTTTAAATGTTCACTAACTTCGTTTAAAAACAACTTCACTGATTCTTCAGTGCATCCAGATAATATTACAAGTCTAGGTAAGTCATCATTCGGTGCTCCATTATTAACTTTCTGTTTACGATTCCACTTTAATAACATATGAGCGTTCGATCCCCCAAAACCAAAATTATTAATTCCTATGTAACCATTTTGAAGTGGCATTGGTTCTTGGATGACTTGAACAGTTCCATTTATCAAAGCATCTATATCTTTCCTCGGCAATGTATAATTGATATTTGGTGGAACAAGGCCAGTTTCAAATGCTATTATTACCTTTAGTAATTATAATAACAGTTTTCAAGTTTGATTTTGAATTAATTTGTAAAATATATATTGAGTAATCATACATTACATACGTGGGCAATTTGATAATCCGTCTCCTTTTTAAAAATCGAGATATGATGAAAAATAAGGCAAATTTTGTTAAAAAAATAGTAAAAGAAAGAATCACAAATTTATCAAACTATTCACATATGTATTATTATATTAATTTCAGTGAATGTCGAATTTAAAATTTTTTTAATAAATCGAGTTATCATAGAAATGTCTAATTTTTTAAATAATGAAGTTGAAGTACCGAAATTGACGTATGCAAAATTCTATGATAAGTTAACAATGAAATAAGAGAGAAAAAAAATTTAATCTTTCACGTATAACTTACAAGGAAACACAACCAACTGTCTCCGATTTAATTCTCAAATTCCACACCCCAATCGCGCAATCGTAACTTCCACACAGATGCGATTTTGTCTTTAAACGTTAATTTTATTATGAAGATAGAACAAAAATAAGTTAAGATATGTTTTTGCTATGGAAAATTTTGTTGAAAATTCAGTGGTGAAACTCAAATTATACAAAATATTTTTTTTTATGATGAAAAGTAAAATTTTTTAAAGACAGATTTTTATAAAACGACTTTTCTGTTTTTTAATCGTATTTTTCTTTACTTTATTTAATAGAATTCAATTTTGTGTATTGGTTTTTACTATTAACAAAACGCATTTTAGGGGAAAATTATTACAAATTGAATTGAATGAAAAGAAATATTTTTTATGTCAGCTTCAAGTTTGACCATTTTTAAAAGAAAAATAAGTGAAAGTACGTGATATACGTATGCAAGAAAACATTGTTTATTTTAAAAAATGCTTTTAATGCAAGGTTGAGTTAGCAGTAAATTAATCTGTTATTGTTGCACATTGTATATGCATAAACTAGAGCGGTGTTTATTATAAATACGCCTTGAACAAATCGGACCTTAACCGCGTAGCATACCATATACCGCAATAGCATAGCAAAAGGGGTGCGGTTCGCCTCGGGCGCGGTCTTGACAAGGGCGCCAATCAGTGTTACAAATTCAGAACTGGTGGCAACACGCGATCAACCACCACAAGCCGCTCGCCAAGCCGCTAACTGATGGCACTGATCGCGTACTGCCCATAGATGAACTAACAGAGAGAGGCTAGTATTATATTTGTCGTACGACAAAGCATTTCAAGTCTATTGATTGGCTGCAGGAAAGAAAAGTTGTCGGATCTCTCTATCCAATGTCCAATCAATGAATTGGTCTTAAAATGGACACGTTCAGCAAAATCAATTATTGCGGAGCGGATCAGTGAGTGCTCGCTGCTATTGGGTGATCTAAAAGAATACATCAATAACAACGAGCGCTCCGCAACAGTTGAGTTTGCTGAACGCGACCAATAAGTCTATGGTGCTGCCAGCGGTTCCGTATTTGCAACACTGGTGCCAATTCAACAGTAATACCAAGAAGACTAGAACTAAGGAGGATCAACTTGCGTGGTGGGGGTGAGTCAAAAAACGTCCGCGGCTATTCACACGATGTGCAGCGGCACTGCGCACTGTGTGAAAGTTCGATATAAGAGCGACAAAGTGACGATTATAGAACGATAGAGCGACAACTATATAGAGCGACAGAGAGGACTAATGAAGCGCAAGAGTGGGGGAAGTTATCCGTCGCCACTTTTTGCCTCACCCCCACTACCGCTATTGGCACGAGTTGATCCTCCTTAGTTCTAGTTTTCTTGAGTAATACAAGCAAAAATTTGGAATAGAAGATTTTTTGTTACGGAAGAAAAAAGGACAATAAATTATCTCGAACAAAAGATAAAAGAGGACAAATTAAATCAATCAAACTGAAATCGTTAGCCGATATTCAGCATCAGCGTACTAGCGTTTAACATTTTCTTGTCATAGTTGTCATTAAAGGGTTAAGGTAAGTATTTAAAACATTGATCCTTATTTATAAAGAAACAAAATATGTAATAAATCAAGAATATCATTTTTCAAACGAATGTACAAGTATCGGCGTAAATGCCCTTAAACATAAAGTTGCACCATTATTTCCTCAATAATACCATAATAATAAAGATGCAACTTCACAAAAGTATTTTCGCATAAATACTATTGAATTATTTTACAGTAAATAGTTTGAGTTAATGAAAATTAGCAAAATTTTCTCGGAATTATCTTTTTTGTCCGATTTCTTCAAGATAAATATATATATTACAGTTAAAATGAGCAAGAAATTTTCAGGCGCTGAATATAGAAAACAAAAGTCAGACAGGGATAAAGAAAACCAAAAGCAGGCTGGCTCTTTTTTAAAGTACTTGAAACAAGAGCAAGAGTCTCTTTGAATGCCAATGAACATATAAGCAATATAGAGATAGATGATATTTGTACAATAACTGTTGAACAATCTAAATATAATGAAGATTTGAATAGAACAGTAATTGGAAATCAGGAAACTGAAATGCCGATAATAAATAAAATATCATATATGACTACTTTTCCATTTTTATGCTATCTTCATTTGTGGAGCAAGATACTGCCTGAAATAGACAAAACTCAGAAATATCTCCAAACGAATAGTTTGGGTCTTGATCAGTCAGTGATTGCTATTAATGCTTTAGCATCTTTTTTTCAGCAAAAATAAAGATAGTCTTGTTGACAAGGTACTGACTGATGTTGAGATAATATGTGAGCAAATGGAAATCCCTATTACAAAGCGCATACGACGAAAGAAAAGAATGGTAGGAGAGAAAAAAGACAATGCTGGCTTGTTACTGCAACAAGAGATACGCCGAGATATGTTAGAATCTATTGATCGTTTGAATCAGGAAATTACACAGCGTTTCGAGCAACTCAATTTGTTAAACGAACGCTTTGAATTTTTGAGCTTGAAAGTATTGCTCGATGTATGTAACGATGAATACATAAAGCAAAAAATTAATGCGCTACGTACCATCTACAACGATATTGAATCTGATGATCTCAAATCTGAAATAGAAAGGCTGCGATGGCTTGTGAGCAGTTGTTGTTCTACTGCCCAAGAGACAGACATACCAGTAGATGAGTGGTCAGCAGAAACCTTCCTTGCATGGATAGTTCGATGGGGTTTTACAGAAATGCTACCCATTTGACAGTGATTTTACGAATTTTTTTGACCATTAGCGTAAGTGTTGCCACTTGCGAACGAAGCTTTTCAAAATTAAAGTTTATTAAAACCTATCTTCGTTCAACAATGAGTCAGGTGCGATTAAATGGACTTGCGTTGCTTTCTATTGAACGAGACGTAACAAAAGATGTGGAGTTTAGAGAAGTTATCAAAGAATTTGCAAGCACCGAAGTCCGAGAGATTCGAATTTAAAATTTCATTCATCGTTCATTAAAACAATTTTGTTGTTTACTCCATTTTGTAGAAAGAAATTCTAATTTCTATCTACTTTAATTTTTATCTATAGAATAACTTCTATATTACGTAATTATTATTATATAAAGTATATGTATTAAATAATTAATTTAAATCATTTATAAATAATAAAATTTTAATGAAATTATCTTATTAATTTTTAAATTTAAAAAATTATAGTTTAATTAAAAAAATCCCGGGGGCGGGAACAAAGGGGATCGCCCCGGGCGCTGCCATCTCTTGCTACGCCATTGCGCAATACATGCAATTGTGAAGCCTATCAATATAAATTGGAAGTAACCTGCAAATGCAGTACTTCTTATTAATTTTTAACAAAGGTACTTATTTCATTATTAATAATTTATTGCATTTATCAATAATTTTTGTTTTTCATGCACTTTCCTTTCTACTTGTTAATTCATAAAAAATATTCTACTAACCCGTGTAAACTTGCGTATCCTATTTCAATGTCAGAGACGTCCAGCTTTTATAATAATAATGAAAAAAACAATTTGTCGCTTAATAAAGGTGCCGATAATAATTTACGAGTACATTCTGGAGCTCAATTTCAAGCTTGTGGTCGAGATTGTATAATGGAACTTTTTCGAAGATCAGAAGCTAAAGGAAATTCTGCTGAAATATCACAAAAGTCTGACAATGAAATTTTTGAGGATTGAGGTAGATTTCGAAGATTGAGGTAGAAGTAATGCACGTATTTGACTATAAACGTTAGATATAATGTTTAAAAAATTACAATTATTTGGAATAAAAGCATTTTAAGGAAATTGCGAGCAAATTTCAAAATTCCAGATTCTTTTATATTTTCCCTAACATCCTCGGACTTACAATTATGTATCTACTATGTATCAATATTTATCGATTCGTATAAAGAGATTAGTAGAACTATAATCGACTTATCGAATAACTATTTCAATATAAAAACCTCAAGAAAGAGCATTAGTGAAGACATCATAATCAGATGTCACGAGAATGTCCGATATTTTCTTCAAATAGTGAATAAAACTTTCAAATGTACATATATTCGTGTAATAACACGTTCAAGATTAAGAAGAATAGGTGTCATTAACCGATTAAATCACCCATCGTGAGCAGGTAGAGTGAACCGAATTGAGTCGAAAAGTCCTCTACTATTTCGCAATTTTCGCAATAGTTAACAAGATATTAATTACTAAAAATGGCCGAATATTGGTCTTCAATATTTTTTTCTCAAATACTATCAATTTTACAAAAAAACTATAAGAGATAAAAATTGTTTATATGTCAAAAAGAGCAGATGCTGTAAGTGCTCTTGTAAATAATTTTACTGGTATTTTTAATGCTCTAAACCATTTAGCTGACGATCAAACTCAAAAATTGGATACATGACATGAAGTTTCATCTTTAAAAAATAAAATTATTAAACTAGAAAATGCCTTTATGGCGGTATTCTGGCATAAGATTTTGAGTAGATTTAATGCTACCAGTTCATATTTACAAAAAGTCGAGCTGGATTTGAATATAGCTAAAAATATGATGCTATCTTTAGTAGAATTTTTTAAAAATT